AAACTGGAGCAAGCACATGGAGCCTCAGATGCAATCAGAAAATGCCGTGTGAAAATGAGGACTGCTGGAATTTAACATCTTTGTTAAATTCCAGCTACTCCCAACTTGTTCTTGCTGCTTGAGCCCTGAGCTCGCTGCTCGTAGGACTCTGTGTGCAGTCTGGTTTGGTTTCTGAGCCCAGCTAAGGGAAAGAGTTAAGCTTGTTCTCCCCTTCTCGTTGGCAGAAAGTTTGCAGTTTAAAATTACATACTGACTCTGGTGTAGAGACACAAGAAATTATAGAGCAGACACTGTCCAGGACAACGTATAATTTAAAATGTACTAAAGAATGTATACCACATGGCAAAGTAAGTGAAGTGCTTCTTCAAATATAAGTGTTTTGCATAGAAAGGCTGTAATTATCCACTCCTAGGGAAATGTTTGCATTCATTCTAAATCAATATTTACTATTCATCTCTTGTGTTCAACAAAACAAGGATTTAACATTTTTTTGTTTTAATGAGGTACTAAGACTACAATAATACTACAATGTAATTGTCTTGATACAAAATATTGCTAAATTGCGTTGCTATTTCGGGAGCAAACAGTTTTTAAGAGGAGGGGTGTCCCTGTTTGTGAGATGTTACTGCAGTAACACACAATTCAAACCCAGCCAAGCAGGGAGACTCACCAGTTCCAAAGAGCTGTTAAAGCCTCCTCTCTGTTCAGGCCCTTAACTGGGATCATTCGGGTGAGTCCTGTGTTTCCCCCGAAAGTATCAGCCTCTTTATAATGATTCCTTTTCAGCTGGCATCTCAACAACCACAACAACGATGAGATTTCTTTCTCTGGTTTTAAGCTTGGCTGTTTTTATTTTTGCCCCCCTCCCAGCATCTTTCAGCCAGGCAGCAGCAGCTGAGGGCAGGCAGTAATTGGGCTGCAGCCATCTCTGCTCTCTGGCTCAAACCTGTTGATGCAAATGGAGTTTCCTGAATTTCACCCTCCTGGGAAAATCTTGGAGGGGGGGATGAGGAAGTTTGCAGGATGATATCAGAGCTCGGTCCTTTATATTTTTTCAAAGAACTGATCCACCTTGGAAAAGTTTGATGTGGTACTTGGGGAGGGCATGGCAAAGAAAAAAAGGCCTAAAATTGCATGGGAAAGTCACTGCCCGTGGCGAGGGGGGTTGGAATCAGATGATTTTAAGGTCCTTTCCAACCCACACCATTCTATGATTCTGCACCAGGATTCGGGTTAGGATGAGAGCATCTGAGAAGGATCAGAGTCTCTGGGAGGAACAGCACATTTAATCACAGCCTGTGGCACCGCTATTCTGTGGTTAGGAGGATGTCCTTGCATCAAGCATCCCTCTCTTTGAATTTACCTGGCATGTCTTAAGAAGTAATTCTCAAACTTCTCCAACTTCAAAAAAACCCAACAAGCATGCATTTTTGGCACTGCCGTGGCTCCATGTGAATCAAATCAGATAACTGGAAACACTTTAGTTGGAAAATCCTTTAAAATCCTTTTCTTTAATCTCTACTTTTTATCCTTGCACACTGCCCACCATATTCCAGGCTCTGGCCTACCCTTCCCAACACTAAATGCTTCCACTTTTGCTGCTGAAATTCACAGTACACGGCTCTTGAGTGGATTTCAATCTTGTGCTCAAGCAGACTGTCCTGTATTTTTTTCCCTGAGTCTGAAGTCATTCTTGTCCTCTTAGAAAATCATGCACATAAATGGGGTCAATAGCCCTGAGAGAAGAACAGTCTCTTTCCCCAGCAAATGTTATTGTAACTGGTGTTTTAATTCTCCAGATATCACGCTCAGTGTTCTGGGTAACAAAGGGCTGTGCAGTGCCTAATCATTCAGCAGTGATCCAGGGAAAAAGCAGAAGGTTAAGAGCAAGTTCCTGAAGTCTGTGAAATCAATGGGACACTAGAAAGGGAACTGAAGTGTACCAGAAGGGACCTCTTGAGGGTCATTAAAAAAAAACAGAAACTGATTATGAGCAGAGCTTTTACCCTAAGAACTGGAGGGGGCCAGCAAAATCATTCTGCTGCACTCCAGTTAAATGTCTAATAGTGGAGACATTTTCTACACAGCCCATAAAGGATAATGAGGATGCCTTTGATAGCTTTCAAGAAAGTTTTCTCGTCAGTGTTCACAAAAACATGATCTGGGCGAGCACTCTGTGCACACACAGCCCGTGGTGATCCTGCACAGAGGGTGAAAGGGAAGATGGCAGCCCAGAATTCTGCATTCCACCCCTGAAATGCATCCTGTCAGTCGCAGGTGGGAAAAATTGGATCCACCTGACATCATGATGCAAACTGTAAAGTTTGGTGTTGTCTGCTGGCTTGGTGCCTCATCTTGCTGCGATGGGAGATGTAAGGAGAGGTGACAAAATCGTGTGACTTCCTCCAGAATGAGTGAGGAGTAGTGGTTTGTCCAAGAACTTACTGAAATTGATTGCCAATAGCAAAGTTTGGACTGGCAATGGCACATGTGAGAAGAGGTGGCAAAATCGTGTGACTTCCTCCAGAATGAGCGAGGAGTGGTGGTTTGTCCAAGAACTTATTGAAATCTATTGCCAACAGCAAAGTTTGGAATGGAATCTAGTTGTTTCTGCTCAGTTTGTGTGCTGGGAAAGCAACTCATGGCAGTGGGAATTGGAATGTTTGTTCTCCTTCTGTCTCTGACCCTGATCCTCTGTGTGGCTCTGGGTGAGTCACAACTTTGCTGTGATTCATTTTCCCAATGAAGCACGTTAGTACGATCCAACTTGCAAATCTTACCGGTGTACTCTAAGAATGATTTGTAAAAAAAAATTATGTGGTAATGAGTTTTAGAAGTTAAAGGTTTTATTGGTCACCTTAAAGTAGAGATCTGCCTCAAAAGAGAGCAAAATCTGCTCTGATTTTAGAATACAGAGCAGCTCTGTTGGGGAAAAATACCAGAAACCTTTCTAGTAAGAATGAACTTTGAGTTCTTTGTACTTCAGACGAAACAAACCTTTTCTCCAGAAACAGGCGTTCACAGGGATGAACTGAATATGAGTCAGTCCAACAGTTCTACAGCCAAGTTGTGAAACTTTTGTGTCATTGCCCTGTGATTCCAGCTATCTTCAATTAATAGAAAAAAATGCAGGAAATTCAGGTGGAAGGAATGCATGGAAATTGAAGTCAAAGAAAAATATTCGTCGTGGCCTTGGCAAAGTGAGTTTTCTAAGCCGAAGGAGCTTTTAAGCAATTAGCATCTGCTGTGTGCAATTACTGAGTGACACGCAGCCCCAGATGGAGGGCTCAGCAGCCAGTGGCCATCTGGATTTCGGTCTCCATCAAGGGTACACTCTGTTCTGGGCTTCACCTGGCCCAGGAGACAGCCCTCCTCCCTCTGCCCCACGCTGCACAGTCAACCTTGAGTCATTGGTGGGGGAAACAGTGAGACAATTCCTCCAGGTCTCTCAGGTCCAAAGCTTTCTGAAGTCACCGGAAAGATTATGACTGGAGATGCTGACCTCTGAATTGATGCATTGCCCCCGGTTTTCCAAAATGAGGTAAGTCCCTGGGCTAAAATCCACCTCTCAGCTGTAAAAGTGGCTTGATGTGCACCAGCCTCTGGAGGGACATATGGCTTGGGAGACTTGGCATCTGAAATTACACAAAGAAAATCAGCTCTTAGAGGGAGAATTTTTGTCAACAGGTTTTTTTATTTACGAAAAAATGCAATGAAATTTTTCTTAGAAGTGCTGAGAGGTATCAGACACAGCCACAGAGACTAATTCTCTGAAGTAATGTAGCTCTAAAAGTGAAACTACAGTTCAGTTTGTGAAATTAAAAGAATAAAAAATCAAAACCAACTGACAAACAGTTTCTGACTACTCTGTATCTAAAAATGGGCCAACCTCATTTGGTCTATTTAAAAATTGTGAACCCATAATGCTCATATGCCAAGTTCAGCATGATGAAAATTAAAACGGTTGAGGTATAAACCCTTGGAAAACAGGGTTTATAATGGAAACAGTAATTGACTCTCAAATACCGCATCAAAAATACAATGCTATAATACAAAGCCTCATTTTTGGGATCCTAGCTCTGCTTCTGACCTCAGGTTGGCAGACAAACACCTCACCACAGAGCTAACTGATGGTTATAGGTTTGGTGTTTTTGTTGTTAGTTGTTTTTCTTTTTTTTTTTTTTTTCATGCAAGTGGAACATGGCAAGTGAAGAAAATTTATAGGAGCAAAGCAAAATTGGCCAACAGTTCAAAAGTTCTCTCTTGTAAGCTTTTGATATTTTTCCCAATCGCTGATTCTCTCTCAACTCCTAAGACTGAGGAGATGCCATGATTCTGCTCTGGGTGAACATTTTATTTTGGCTGATGATTTTATCCGCTTCAGCCTTGCAAACAGTTTAACTGTTCCTTCCAAGGTCAAAAATTTGGTTATCCTGAATGGAGAAGACCAAAAAAGATCAATATCTTTGAAGCTGTTGTCTGTCCCTGCTCAGCATGACTTTAACAGAGAGGAGAGGCAAAGCAAATATTCCATTGATCTCATTAATGATGCTTCCCAAGGCCTCTGCCTGGGCTGAGCCAGGCTGCTACTTTTGCTGCCAGTTATGGCATCTTGTCATTTTGGGATACACAGAAAGTACCAGTTCTAGCTGAAAATGTCATCAAAAGTGGTGAAATATGTGGAAAATCAGGAAGTTCAGCTGGGGAGAACCACCAGTCAACTGTGGTTGGTAAACACATGTGTGGACATGTTAAATGAAAATACCGTGAGATCTGCATGCATTTGAGAGGAAAAAAAAAAAAGGAAAAAAGAGAGAATTTCTACCAAGGCAATTAAGTACTTTAAAAATTACTGGTTTTCTGTTTAGCAATGGATTATTAAATTAATATTTTTTTAAGTATTGAAGAACATACAGCAGAAGCATTTTTTGTCCAAAAATGGTCTTCTTTCAGGTACAGATTACAAATAAAACTAACTGCTTTGGTTTCTTTAGGCACTGAAGATGATACAGAACCATAAACTTTGGTCTTGGTAGAGCTACACCTTCACCTCTGCCAGTTTTGCAGTGGTGTTTGCAGCTGGACCAGGTGGGTGCACAGGCAGAGCAAATCACAGCTTTGTTGGTTGGTAATCACTATTGGAGCATTTCAAATCCAAGAAAATAGGTCATGGACATTCCAGAAATATAATTTATGTCTTCTTAGGCAAGCTTCCCAGTGAGGGTCCAATGGGAACTCTTTTTTTTTACCTTTAGCCATTCAGCACCTTTCATTTTAAGATACCCTATTAATGTCAGTGCAGAAGATCTGAAACCTAACCCAGAATATTATTGTCAATTTTTTTTTTCCTGGAATAGAGAAAATTTACCTTTACTGGCAACCATGTCTTTATTCAAATGCTGCTCCTTCTGAAAATGATTGGGAAATTGCCAGTGCAAACAACAAATAAAGACTCCAAGAATTGGCTCTTTATGATGAGTGATTTATGATTTATGCTCTAAACCACATAAACTACGTATTTCTGTTTGGATTCTGAAAAACAAGCCAGGAAAAAACAACAATATCTTAGCGAAAAAAAAATATGTACAGTGGTGGAATGTTAGTACAGTCTTTGGCAAAGCATCAAATAGAGATAAGGCTCGATTCTATAGGGATATTAACATTTTTTAAAGCAATCACTGTGAAATAAATCTGAAAATGTATATTTAAATTATAAGGATAACACACAGCCTGAATATGCATTTTGTAGTTAACCACTCCCTGTTGTTTTGGGCTCTTGTCCTGCTTTAGCACGATTTTTGAGGAGGAAAATCCTGACTGGAGCACAAGTTACACTTCAAGTCCTATTTTAGGTGGTTTGTACCAATGGATTTCCCTATTTTCCTTATCATTTTTCTTTGATTTGCTTTTTTAGGACCATTATCCAACTCAGCTTGGCACGGCTCAAGTGCACAACTGCAACCTTTTCCATGACCCAAAAGTCAGTGCCACTCTGTGGGCTGGCAGTTTGCAAATAAAACATATCCTTAATGAAGTGTGGAAGCTCCTGTTCTTTCCCTTCCTCAAGAGACGTGCCTTAATCTCTGGCTCAGAGCCTTGTCAAATGCTGCAGTACAGAACTGGCAAGCTCAACGCTGCTAATGGATTGAAACCTTCACCAGGTTGTTCATTTCTAGAGGGTTTGTATTTTTTTTTTACTGCTTTTCCTTTTATTTCCCCCCCCTAAATACTGCAGCAAGCAAAGCATCACTCCAGCCCTCAGTCTTCCATAAGGGTTGGTTGGGGACCTCAGTGACAACTCTACAGTGCACGTAAGAGAAATTTAAATTATGCCACTATAGTGTACCAAGGATTTGGTTGCTTATGTAGGTCAATTATTAAGGGAAAAAATAAGATTAAAACCAGGGGGCTGCTCTGTGTATTTGAAGTTATTCCCGAAGACATAAAACTGTGCTATTTACACTTATAACTTGTGACGGGTTCTCTAAGTCACAGGCATTTTGTCTTTTCTGCAGCAGAAACTGGAAATGCTTGGATTTTTCACTCTTATTTTCCTTTTTATTTTACTTTATTTTTTTCCTGGAAAGTGACTATAATCTAGTGAAAAAGATTTGAATAAGATGACTAAATTTACTAAAAATGCAGTACTGGTAAATATTACAAATCTTTTATTTTCTATTTTTCTGGATATGTCTGACTAATATTGAGACCAGAGGTGTTTTCACAATCTGTGGCATAAATTGTGATAAATTAAGAAAACTGTATTTCTTTTCAAGATTTGGATTTTTTTTTATTCTGATAACACATGTATGATATGTGATTTCAGATTATATTTTCTAAAAATTCTGGGGTTTATTCAGCTGAAGAAAATGATACCTCAGAATTTACCTCTTTACTGAGTCATTTTGAGAGGGGTCCAGGCTATCAGGGTGCAAAATGCAAAGCACATTTTCAGCATGGTGGGAAAGAACCTGTATTGCAACCTGTTGCTGTCCAGAGCTTGAGAACTTTTACACCAGGAAAAAAAAAAAAAACAACAAAAAAAACCCAGAAAAGCAAGAAGAAAGGGGGAAAAAAAGCAATTATTCTATCGCTCCTGCTAGGGGCAGGAATTTGTAGTGTTCCTTTAGTCTCTGCTAACCTGGTTCTGTCAATGTCAATAACTCCATGACACCCTGGGAGCAGGGAAAGCTGTGGGATGCCGGGTACTTGGGTGCTGAAATTTATCAAACAATGTGTGTGAGGCAGCACCTTGTGCTCCCTGCCTTTGTGCCTGTGCTCCTCGCAAGCACAGGGGGAAAGTAGGTTACCCTCAGCTCTGCTGGTGGATGGAAGGGGTGAAAAGGAAATTTTTCACATTCCTGCCTTTTTAGAGCCGCACTCCGGCACGTTACTGGAGGGTGATTTCTCTGCCGAGCAGATGGGAAGTCAGGTTTTCCCAGCAATGCCTTGGCAAATCGCGGGGTTTATTGTTATATTAAGGTTGGAAAAGCCCTCTAAGGTCAGAGATTCCAACCATTCCCCTTGGCACTGCCAGCCCATGTCTCCAGGGGCCAAATCCACACAGCTTTTGGATCCTGGCTATGGGAACTCCACCAGTGCCCTTGGAGGCTGCTCCAATGTCCAGGATTGCACCTCTCTTGATGTTCTCCACAAAGATCCTGTGCATCTCTGGGAACTATTCTTTTTGAATATATTTCCATCAGTAAGGAATTTATATAAGCTGTGATGACCCTCATTATTTCCCCTCTAGAGGATTTTATTAAGGAATGAGTGGGAGCATCCTTATATCATCTCACATAGATCGTCTAGACCCCTTGGAGCAGATCAGCAGCTGCAGATTGCTTGAAAATACTTTTGGGCTGCCTACTAGAAGAAGTGGTTTGCAGTCTGTAAAGGCAACAGATTTAGGAAAGGAAATAGGATATGATATAGGAATTGAACCAGCTGTGAAGCGTTATGTCAGTTCAGGGAGTTTCTGGAAGGAAAAATTTAAAAAAAGAGAGAAGTAATGTTTGGCTATCTTCTCTTAGAAGGCTGAGTTTTATATTAAACGTTGTGTGTCTAGAATGCCTTGAAAGAAGACTGAAAGGACACTAGAATCCTAGGGAACAAATGGAAATTTGTGGAGGAGATCAGATACTCCAGAAAAGCTGAAGATTAGAGGCAGAAACAGTGGGAGCTGTCTGGAGTGGGGAAAGGCATGAGTGAAGAGATTAAAACCTGTTTGTTAAACTTGTGCAAGGATGGACTGAAGAGTTTAACATGAGGTGAGAGGACTGGAGGAGCTGCTGGGATGTGGCTGTATTATTCAGCTGCTGGATTTTGGATGAGTGACTGTGGACTTTGGAGTGTAAAGTGTGGAGCACATCCCAGTGAAGGGAATCCTCTCAGAGTTATTCTCCTCTGTCTGCACAGACCTTGACTGGTGGTAAAGGCCCAAAGTGGCCAAGACATGTTCTAATGCAAGGCTTCCAGCTGTAAATCAATATTTGAGGTAAATGGCTTTAACTGTTGATTATGGAAACCATTCTGAGAACAATTACAAGTTTAAAAGTAAAAGTGAGATTTGGCAAGCAGCATCCATACTTCATCAGTCATACCGTGGCTTCCATGCTTAAGATGGAGGTTGCAGCTTGTTTGTTCTGAGAATTCAGTGTATTCATTCATCATGTTTATTCAAATCAGGGCTTCTGAGGAGTAATGACAACGTTATTGTGCAGAATTACCTGCTGTGGTTTAAAAAATGCACCTGCCAGTGTGAAAATCTGGGAATCTGGTGATGGCAGGTTTGAAAAGAGTTCAGCAGCCCAGTGTTACCCTGTGAAAAGCAACAGAGCACAAGCTCCTGTGAGTACCTTGACAACAGCAACCTGTATTTGTAACTTTGCATTTCCTCTTTATCTCAGTAAACTTATGGCTGTGTCACTAAATGTGAACTTTATTGTCAGCTCTGGAAATGTGGGCAGTATCACAGCTACATTAGGAAGTACCTTGCTAATTGCTGCAGAATTAATTCAGGTACTACTTTTTATTTTCTCGAGTTAAAACAACATTTCAATATTATCTTTGCTTTTGCAGAGGAATATATATCCTTGATGACTTAGACTTGCATAAATCTCCCTTTCTGAATTTCTTTACATTTTATTAAGGCACTTTACCTCTTCTAAGGCATGATTATTATTGAGAAGCACATACACTGTCAGTAGGAATAGTTATTGGGTTTTTTCTCTGTTCCTATAGAGGTCCCATTGCCAGTTTCTCCTCCGCCTCCTCAGAATTAAAAAAAAATACAAGTAACAATAACAGCCTTGCTGTTTTCTCCCTTCCAAGTAGGTAGAAGAAAATTACTTGATTAGATTATAGGGTTTGTATATGTGTTTAAAGACTTTATTGTGGGAAATCTATACTAGAGCCAAAATGATTAATGGTAATTAATGTTCCCACATTTAATAACAAAAGAATTAATAGAGAGCAGCCACTTACCATAAAGTGTTTCCTTGACATTTCTCACTAAAAATAAAATTTCTGAGCATGCCACGTAGATTTTTGGGAATGAAGAAAGAGAAAGATTAGGCAAGGAAACATCTCACTGTAATTTAAACCATTATTTCTCTGACAGCTTTTTATCTCCTGTCTGGAAGAAATAAACATATTAAATTTTTTATTAAAATAGTTAGGCTTTGTGAGAGTACTTTTTTCCCCAGTGCAATAATAAATATTTATTTGTGCCAGAAACAAAGAAGTTTCTCTGCGAGGCTTTTACTGACGCTTAGCCAAAGGTAGGATTCTCTTAACCTCATAAATACAGCTCTTGTGCACTTGCTTTTTCTTCTCCAGCAGAAATTTTTGATGTATAAGTAACATTCTTATAGAGACTGGGTCATCCACTGGTATTGATCACCTGCCTCGCTCTCCTCCTTTGTCTGCTGTTTACGGAGAATGAAATGCCCCATATCAATTAAAGAACAGCTCCAAAACACAGAGTTAAACCACAGCCACAGCGAATTTCCAAATAAATAACAAAGGCTTTCCAGCAAAGATCCTCAGCCATACGGGCTGGACACTGGATGTGGCCAGAGAAGGAGTTTATCGTGACCCAGCGAGCTCTTGCAAAATCCTCCTTCTGTTGCCTGTGCTCTGCCTATCCCCTGTTGTGTTCCATTGGCATGGCTTTAAATATCACCTCCTCCCCAGCAGCGTGGCTGGATGGAGTGGCAGGAGACTGGTGTTAGGCACTCACATCAGAAAGGGGATTGCATCCATTTGGGAAAAAGCTCTTGGCCAAACTGTCCGGTACGGAGTGAAATTCCATCCTTTTGAAGGGGGAAAAAAAAAGAAAAAAAAAAAAAAAAGCAGGGCATGAAAAGAAAAATACTGTCAGATGTCCGTGTACTATTAGCACAGAATAATTTATACTGAGTTCTGCTCTCAGTGTTTTGGTAGATCTGGATGTGCTCTGCCTGTGATCTGGATGTGGCTGGGGTTTCTCTGTCTGTGCTTCTGGCAAATGTGGTCAGTGTTTAACCCAGACTGTATTTTTGTGCTTGCCATCTGCTTGATTCTGAATGTCAGATCCACAACTGGCCTGGTAGTTATTGCTATTCAGCTATTTTGAACCCAGCTCAGTGCAGCAGATAGGAGAGGATGTACTGGTTGTGTGAAAATGTCATTTGAGCTGAGCCTCCTCCCAAGAGTTAAACCCAAATCTTCCTCTGAAAATAATAAGAAATTATGATTCTCCTATTTTTTCTTTATTGCATTGTTTTCTCCAATTTTGTGCCTTCTTGGCTTTGTTGCACTTAGGGAAAAAAAAAAAGAAAGAAAGGAAATCTAGTAAAGGCTGAGCACGTAAGAGTTTTCCATTTCGTTGGAATACCTAGTCAATGGGCATGCCACACTTATTCTTTACTAAGTAATTTTCAAAAAGATTCTATGTTTTCAGGTGTGGAAAAACTTCAATATGTGACTTTACTGGAAATGTTTAACTAAAGTGGGTTATTAAGTTCCCTACTTTAATCCTTCCAGCCTTTCTTTTACAGTCAGGTTTCTCAGATTCTTGTTTGGAGCATCTAATAAAATAATTGGAAATGGTTTTGATGACTCACTATAACTTAGAAATCTGGATGCAATGCACAAATGTTGGGAAAACTGCTTACAGTCATTTCATATTAGGAAAATTACTTAACACTCACAGTTATTTGTACTCCTCACAGGTCTGATTCAGTCTTACACTTTTGATGTCTCAAACAAAGGTCAGCACCTTCACAAGGCTCACATTGACAAGTGGATGAGACAAGCAAGTGGGCTGGAGAAGACATCTGCCTCCAATATCCTGATGGACCTCGAGGACCTGTGTGTCTGGAGGTAGGAAAATTGCTGTAAGATGGGAAGGAGGGCTCAGAAGGATAATTTTTTTTTTTGGGTGCTTGAAACCCAGGTCATATTAGGTGCAGCTTGCCCATTTCTTGGGGCAACAGAAGACCAATAGATGTCAGAGGTGGTTTGTGGCTGCAGAAATTCCTCCCGATTAACAAAATGGCCATTTTATGCTGGAGGCTGAGTGAAAGATGTGGGAAGGAAGGTTTGTAGGGTGTGATCTGTCTCCTGGACTACACGGCATTTCCAAGACCTGGCCCCCACTGCAGGAGGCTGAGATCAAAAAGGGCTGTGGTGGGATTGGAAAGAGGTTTTTCCTCACTCTTGTTGGATAATGTGCCCAGTCCCTCCTTTGAAAATGGTGTTGCATGTGCTTCCAGTGCTCCAGCTGGCTGAAAGGTAGCTCTGCCTTCCAGGTCAACAATGGGACAGTGCAGGTGGCCACCCTTGGAGAAGACTTTTGTTTCCTCACCCTTATGAAATCCTTCTGCTCAAAAATAGTCAAGTAAAATACATATACAGGTGAATAAATCTATTACACAGAGCTACCCAAAAACACTTATCCAAACCCTTATCTGCCAGAGATTAAAATGTTAAGGTATGTCTGACTGTAACCCATTTATTGTTCATGAATTCACAATCCTCTTGGACGTCCTCGGGTGCCAGGTTTTGCTTATGGATCTCTGAACCAGCCGAAGGAAATGTAAAATCAAATGTAGACAGACAGCTCCCTCTCGAATACACATCCACAGAGGCCGAGGAACACTTGTTATGCTAGCAAGGGTGTGGAATAAATTAAGCTGAGGAGATTTGCTCCGGACCCACCTATTTGAGACGGGAGGCTTTGTGCGCCGCGCCAGAGCCGGTCCTGCGGGAGCGGCCGTCACCGCGGAGCAGACAGGTGGATCTGGAGATGCTCGGGCTCGCAGCGTGGCACAGCACCAGCAGATCAATATTTAATGTGAAGGCTGTTGCAGCCCCTCACATGCATAATTTATCCCTGCTTTTGGGTACAGCTGGGCCGGAGTCAAGCCGTGCTTCCAGGCTGCAGGGGGATTTAGAAGCAGGTCCGAGCGTTTCAGACGGTCCTCACCTTCAAAACGGGGGCAATTCCAAAGCCAGGAATTCCCAACCAGCTCTTTGCCTCCCCTCTCCTTTGCCCAACACACAAACAAATGCTTTGGGGAGGTCTTTGAAATTTGTGTCGAATTACATTGACTTTCCCTCACTGAGGGCACACAGCAATGTTTGTATAGAACAGAATTAGGGCCCCAGAAAGAATTAAGCATTTCAGAGTTTAATTAAGTGTGCTAACAACACATGAGCGAAGTCAGGCTCATAAAAGAGAACTTTATTGTGCGAATTGACACAAAATAAAAGCCCTTTGGGATTAAATTTAGAAAAAAACCTTAAAAGAACACCATGTTATGGGGAATAACCTGGCCACCCTGGCTCATTTCAGTGAGCAAATATCTCTGCTTGGGATTTTTTTACCCTGACAAATGATTAAATTCCAGAGGTAGGATAGCACACGATGCCGGCGTAACAAGGTATGAGCAAGAGGGATTTGCGTTCGACTAGTTAAGAAATAAGCTTACTAATTCACAAATTTATTATAAGATTAGCCTTTAATACCTGATAATCACCTTCGTCAAGGAAAATTTCGTCTCTTCAAAAGGCAAATGAAATTTACAGATGGGTCTTGAGCCAAGCTCATGGGTGGTAGGCAACATTCAGGAGAGGTCCAGCCTTTCTCTCAGGGAAAGAGAAACAGAAACAAGACAGGCATGGCAAAACCTTAGATGCCGTGAGATTATTAATCTCTTTGCAGAAAACAGGTTTGATCTCTGTCAGGCTGTCCATTAATTTTGATGGAGGTACTTTTAAGATCTTATGTTTGCACTTCAGCGAGGCTGTTACAGCTAAATATGCAAGTAAAAATGTTTTCTCATAACGTATACAGACAAGTGTTCCCATTTCAAAGGTGATGTTGTCATATAGACATAAGAACATCAGTATTTGCTAGTCTTGATATTATCTTCTTTGCAATAGCCCATCTGGACCTGAGCTAAGAAATGCTCCCAATGTGTTAGGCTCATGCAAACATCTGGTGCAAAAAGAGGCCTTTCTGCTCAAGGACTTCTAACTCCAACTAATGAAAAAGGTAAAGTGTGGAAGAGAAAAAAAAGGACAGAGAAGGAAAAAAAAAAAGATAATTTTTCACAGTCCCACAACCTTTTGCTAACAGATGGAAGTTTGTCTCCTGAGTGATGGACTCCCAGCTGAGTGCCATTGCCAATAAAGGACATTGTGCAACTGTTGAGCACAGGTTTGTACCCAAGCCACTCATGCAATGATGTTGTGGACAGGTATGAGAGCAGCACAAGCCAGAAGTTGTTGCAAAGACAAATAACAATACAAATACTCACTGTGTTCCTGTCATTAGCTTTCAGATTCAAAAACTACAGACTGAGGACAACACTTTATGCACAGATGCTGAATCTGGAACTAGATTGTCCTCCCTGGGTACCAGGTACTACATCAGCTCTTATACACTTCTGCAGAAACTCGGTGAAACTGGGACTTGAGAATCAACACCTGTGGGAAGGAGGAGCAAAGTTAACATTGTACCCTGAGATGCAGAATTCCTGAAGTCTCATTGCCTCTGCAGAGTCAGTATTTGGATCCTTCATCTTTTGATATGAAGGATCTGAGCATGGCCATCCTTTGCCATAGTGCCTCAGTTTCCCCCAGGTGCTGTGTCTCACATTAACCTCTTTGCTGAGCCCAGGCCAGCAGAAATGTTCCTGTAGAACCTTGTAGTAATTATTAGGTTGGAAAATCTCTTTGAGATGATTGAGCCCAACCATTCCCCAGCCTTGCCACCACAAGGCCATGTCCCCAAGTGCCACATCCACATGGCTGTTAAATTCCTTGGGGGAATGGGGACTCCACCACTGCCCTGGACAACCCTTTTGGTGAAGAAATTTTTCCTAATATCCAAGCTAAACCTATGACTGCAGTTTTTGCTGTGGCAGAAGCCCTCTTTTCATTCCCCTACCTGTCTCCAGTTGCCAATGTTTGCAGAAGTTACAGGAATTTAATTATCTTCAGGGCTTCTACCTCTCTATTAAATTGGATTGAAATAAGCCAATGAATTGGCAAGTGGTGAAGGGAGAAAAGGTCTGGCAGACAGGGCCAGTGTGAAAGCTTCGTTACTTCAGGAGGGTTGCCCAAAAAGAATTGAACCCAGAAAATTTAAATCTCACCCAGAAAAGAGTGAGATTTTGAAAAGTATAGCAGCATGTGAATTGCAACACAGATTGTCTGGTTAGGGAGTGAGTGAGTGAAGGAGAACAAATAAAGGAATTAAATAGAGAGGAAAGAAAAGGGCAGAGGTCTGTCCCCTCCTTGGATGACATGGGGAAAGAAGTCATGATTGGGAATATATTGATGATTGGGAATATATTCTTCCCCAAATTAAAAACCAGTTTCAAAGTACAAACATTAGACAAAAGCTTCAAAATTAAATTATTAAAGATGTCTCAGGCTTAGGGCTCCCATTCCTTCACTTCTTATGGGTTTCTACACACTGGAGAGGGACACAGAGAGTCTGCCCCAGAAATTTTGAGTATGGAGCACCCAGTGCTGAAGGTCCTTGTGGAGTGGGACCTGTCTGGGACAGAAAAAAACCTCTGTAGAAATGCACAGGTTTCACTGCATCAGGGATGGCAGAGGAGCAATTGACTTCTCTCGTATTTAAAGTGGCAATTTTCAAAGCAAAAGTTGTTCCTGAGCAGACAGACACAGGCAAGAGGCCTTTGGAAATTACTCAACAAAGTTATAGATCTTCCTGAACTTGAGTCAGGCAAAAATACTAGGACCTGAATCAAAAGGAAATATTTTAAAGCTTGAATCCCTTTACCTATCAATTTTTCTTTTCTGTTTGGAAATACTTTTTTCCTCTTGTGGTTGAGATGAAAAGAATGAAAGTACGATAATGATGCTGTGGAAGAATCATGTTTGGCCGGGTGATAACTGAGAATTTTGGATACCTGGTATTGGCTTTCATGGGTTTGCACATCCTTGGGAGTGTCCAAGGCCAGGCTGGATGGGGCTTGGAGCAGGCTGGGACAGTGGAAGGTGTCCCTGCCATGGAGGGGGTGGGGCTGGATGGTTTTTAATGTCCCCTCCAACCCAAACCATTCTGTGATTCTGTGTGCAACCCCTACAGTTCTGCATATAAGTACATGCTCTTTCTCACTTTTTGTGCTATTTTTGTGTGTGTGTGTGCAAATATTTGTGGTGGAACTGATAAACTAAATGAGCATCCCACTCCCCACAGGCACACAAGCATTGCTGGATCAAAGACTGGCAGCCAAGGTGAGAATTGATTTCTCAACACACTAATTTTAAAACTCAGTAAGTTTAACTCTTACATGAGGTAGTTCATTTTGAATTTCTGCCTTTCCCATGCTGGGTGCTTTCATCCCTCTTCCACGCATGAGGCTGGGCTAAGCAGGGTTTTGGGGAGGGCTGATGGCCTCACCTCCCACTCTGTGACTGAGAGCTGCTGCTCCACAGCACTTTTCCTGCAGCCCACAGGTTGTAACAAGTGTTCAGTCACACCAGCCCTCTGTGAGATTGTACCTGCATTATTTATTAGCCCACAGATGTAACTCTGTCCCTTTTTTCAACCCAGCTTTGGTGAGTGTGCATTCAGGGTCAATTCACTCTGCACGCTGTGGAGGGTGAGGAGAGGCAGGGATTTGCCATGCCTGTTCCTTGGCTGGCTCTCAGCACACTTCCCTTTCAGATTTGGGGGTTTACACGGATCCTTAGGCATTTCTGAGTTAAATTAAAATATTCCTTACAAAGAGGGAGATGAGTTTGTGGAGAGCATCAAAGCAGGTGGGCTGATCTGAGCAGAGGGTATTCCCACACAACTGCTCATTCAAAGTCAAACTGCTCCAAAATTTTAG